TTTATCTTCACCATTCGATTTACAAAGGAAAGGTAGATTTTATTTTTAAAAATTTATTCTGAAAATGTTGGATTTGTGTCTGAAGAAACCCTGTTAGTGTGATGATGAGGAAGACAATGGTTTCAGCTAACATTTCTTGATGATGGATGTCATTTAATCTTTAAAACAACCCCCTGAGATATGTATGTACTATTATTATCTCCGTTTTATTGACAGGGAAATAGAGGCTTATGGACATTAAGTACATGTACAAGGTCACATAATTAAAAGGGCTGGAGCCAGAGTTATAACCCAGGTCACTTGGCCAGATTCCAAACCTTGTGTTCTCAAATGAGTACATATATGCCTAGGCCCTGTTGACGCCACATAATTCTTGCTCTCTCAGAAATTCTGCATTTTGAAACATCGTTTCTTATTTGTGTTTTTAAGCCAGAACATCTTTTCAATGTAGTCTACTCCTAAATGACAATGCTGATGTTTCCCAGGAATCGGAAGAAGCGGGGAAGAATTGGCACCTTTCCTTGGCACTCTGCAAGATACAGCAAAGAGCAGACCTCTCCAAGGCAAACTGCTTTTCGCCCAGGGAGCTGCTGAGAGTGTCTTGTTACTCCCAGTAGAGAGACCACTTCTCTACTGTGAGTATTAATTCAGGAAATGTGTTCATAAAGGGATTGTACCTGTGAGGAGGGCATCTGTGGACACTCATGTAGCTCTTTTCTCCCTAGTATTTTCTGTCAGTTCACATCCACTTGTCAGCTCAGGAGACTCCTGTTCTCAAACAGTCGTGCCAGCTGTCAGGTCTGGGAGTGCGTTTTCCTCCTCATTTCTTTTCAGCAGCTCCCATTTGTTTTTTTCCCTGTAGATTCTTGTCTCCATCTTACAACCACTAACCTACTGATAAAGAGACTCTGCCTAAAGCACTTCTTGTCTTCCTGTCCATTCAAGTATTACAAGATCTGGAAATTTCCCAAACTCTGTAAATTGTCATATATATAAATCAGCCTGCGGAAGTCAACACAGTACGGAGAATGATGGGCTCAAGTTACAAATTTTCACATCTGGGTTCTATTCCAGCTGAAGGTCACTCGTCCACTCTGGGTCTCTGTTTCCATGTTTATAAAAAGAAGAGTTGACTAAATCTCTATATTGCTCCTATCTGACAAAATTTCTAATCTTATTTATAGCAATAATAATATTCATAATTAATAATATCTATCATTATTGAGCATTGAACTTTTCCCAAACACTGTATAAATGCATTCTTTTCATTATCTAATTTAATCTTCACAAGAACCTTAATGATATGTATTAATATTAGTATTATTGCAATTTTTCATTCAGAAAAATGAGGCCTGGAGGGATCAAATAATTTACCCAGTGGCACTTGCTAGTAAGTGGTGTCCATTGATATTGAGGCTTCTCACAAATATTCCAGTTTCTGCTTCCTTCCAGGCACTGGTCAGACTTGATTTCTCCACCCCTCGCTGCCGTTGAAGTGAGGCATGGCCGTGTAAACGTGGTCAGTGTGAACCTAAGTGCTCTGTATCACTCGGAACAAAAGTTTGAGACGTCTGTGTGAAATCTGCCACAGTTCTTTTTCCACCTGTCACCGGTGTTTCAAATATTGGTGTCAGCTCTCTCAACTTGGGTTCTGGAGTGGGGACAATAGAGAATCGGGAGCCCAGCCAGTCCACAGTGAGCATATGGCATGAGTGAAAAATAAATCTTTGTCTGTCTGGGGATTGTTTATCTCTGAAATCCCACCTGGCCCATCCTGACTGATGTAGTGCTGAAAGTATGACGTTTGACACTAGGTCTCACTGGTTTTAAAATTCACAAGTTTAACCACTGTTATGGGCTGAATTGTGTTCTCCCAAATTCATATGTTGAAGCCCTCACCCCTTCAGCATGGGACTGTATTTGGAACTAGGTCCTTTAAAGTGATGATTACATTAAAATGAGGCCGTTAGGGTGGGCCCTAATCCAATGTGACTGGTGCCCTCACAAGAAGAGACGCCAGGGAAAATCCATGTGAGGACGCAGTGAGAAACCAAAAAGAGAAGCCTCAGGAGAAACCCAAACCACCAACACTTTGATCTTGGACTTCTATCCTGCAGAACGGTGAGAAAACAGATTTCTGTAGTTGAAGCCACCCTGCCCATGGTATTTTGTATGATGGCCCTAGTAGGTGAATACAATCACAACATTCCATTTTCTCCTAGAAGGACAGTGCTTACAAATTGCTGAGTCTTTGAGACCCTAAGAAGTGAAATGTCATAACAAAACATTTCAAATTTAATTCACACAGCAATCTGTAGATTTTTCCATATAGTTTTCTTTAAAATAAGAAGGGTTTCACCTAGGAGCTATACAAAGCATGGCTAATGCTATCTGGCATTAGAAATTGTGACCAAGTCTGCATATGAGTCCTGAAGTCTAAAATGTATTTTTGTTAATATCAGAGGTCACTACTTGGGCAGCACACATTGCTGAAAGTCTAGCAAACACAATTAGCATCCATGCAAAGTAAAATTCAGTAGTAATAAATGACTCTTTTACAGTTACAATTACCATAGCTCTGAACATCTTAATTCCCTGCTGCTCTCTCTATATATATATTTCTTAAGATAAAATAACACTTTTAAAACAATCTATAACATTTTCACAACTGTAGTAATTGAAGAAAATTAAAAGTGGCATAATAGTTTTAACATTTAGGATAATTTTTTTAAACGTATGATAATTCTCCAGACTTTCAGATGCTTCCAGAATTTGAACTAGACATTCTCTAGATTCTACCCTCTGGAAGGCATTCTTTTTGTCCATAAGGAGTGCTTTGAGCATAATCTGAAACACTTTGTAGATGTGTGGTAGGCAGTTAGACAGTGGGCCAAGTACAAGATCACCAGGGCAGAACATCTAGGGCACGTAGCAATGGGGAAAACTGGTAGAGCAAGTACTGGAGATCAGTACTGTTAATCAGGACCTCCCCCTAAGGCACCCTCTCCTCCCCCAGATCATCTCCTGTCATGCAGGTCAGATTCTCCCCCTGACATTTTTTCCCCAGCATGTGGTAGACCCCCACCTTTAGAGGAGAACAAGGGTGCTAGAGAAAAGCTCCATCTAATTTCCGTATAAGGACAGAAGATGACCAACCAGACAGGCCCTGATAGGTCAGTTACCCTCCCCCTCCAAGGAGTTCAAAGGAACCCTAGCCTATATCCCAGGGCAGCTCTTTTAGCCACCTGCTAGATATAATTAAGGTCAGGAATTGTTATGAGCTTAATTGAGTCCCTTAAAAGGACGTTGGCCTGGCTGGTGTGGCTCAGTGGACTGAGCATCCTCACATGGACTAAGAGGTCCTGGTTCAATTCCCGGTCAGGGCACATGCCCAGTTGCAGGATTGATCCCCAGTAGGTGCATGCAGAAGACAGCCCATTGATGTTTCTTGCATTGTTATCTCTCTCTCTCTCTCTCTCAAAAAAAAAAAAAAAGAAAGAAAGAAAGAAAGAAAGAAAAGAAAAGAAAAGAAAATCAATAAAAACATTAAAAAAAAGATGTTGAAATCCTAACCTCCAGTACCTGTGTACATGACCTTATTTGGAAATAATATCTTTGAAGATAATCAAATTAAGATGTCATCAAGGTGCAGCCAAATCCAAATGCCTTGTGTCCTTATTAAAAAGAGGAAATTTGGACAGAGATAGAGAATGCTTTCACAGGCCAAGGAGTGCCTGAGGCTACCAGCAGCTAGGGGACCGGATGCTCCCTCACAGCCCCTCTGAAGGACTCAACCCTGTCAACACTCTGACTTTGGATTTCTAGCTTTCAGAACTGTGAGATACTTTCCTATTGTGTAAACCACCCAATTTCTGGTACTTTGTTACAGTAGCCCTAGCAAATTCACATATGACTTGTTTGACTTTGAACTGAACACAGGAAGATTAGGAGGGTGGGCATAATCTAATCACAAGTGCTCTTCAAAAGCAGAGAGTTTTTCTTCAGCCAAAATGAAAGTCAGACATTCTAAGCATAAGGGACTGTTGCAGCCTCTGAGGTGGAGGGAGCCACATGGCAAGTGATGGAGGGAGATCTGTAGGAGCAGAAAGCAGTCACGCTGACAGTGGTAGGGGTTGAGGGGAGGAACTTCAGTCCAGCAACTTGCAAGAAACCAAATTCTGCCAACCACCTGAACTAGCCTGGACGTGGCTCCCTCCCCAGAGCCTCTGGATAGAAGAGCTGAACCCAGATGACACCTTGATTTTGGACTTTGATTCGCTGAGCCAGAAAACCCAGTTGAGCCCATCCAGACTTCTAATCTATGAAGCTATGAGATAATAAATGGATGTTGTTTCAGGTTGCAGTTTGAGGGTGATTCATTATGCAGCCAGAGAAAGTGAGTATGTCAAAGCTAGCAAATACCAAGTGCTTTCTTCGTCAGTCACTATTCCAGGTGTTTTATATTAAAAAAAAATCACAGTATTGTCATAGAGCTATTATTGTCCTGAGGCAATCAAGTTGAATCCACAGTAGGAAACTACGTGATATCTGAAAGACAAGAGGCATGTACCAGACAGCAACAGAACACCCTATGCAACGGAAGGCAGAACCAGTGGAACAGATAGGATGGGCATTTTAAATGAGGATAATACATTTCTTAATAAAGACAAGAAACAATGCTGGGAACATGCAGCAGGGACAATCAACAATGGAAAAAAAAAAACATTTAGAAATATTAAATAGTAAAATAATATATAATTGTTGAAATAAAACAATTAGTAATGGCAAAACAAATCTTGCCTCTGGCCCAGTAGACGGCTTGGCAGCACTCTGCGGCCCCTGTAAGAGTGAAGTGCCGCTCGCATGGAAATAACTTGTCAGAAGTTTGAGAAATGCTATAAAAGAGACCAGCAGAAGTGCCTTAGAGAGGCACTGGGTGGCGACCACTGAGGGATCTGACTCCTCTTGTTCAGGCCCCTCACTCCGCTTCCTCCACAACCATGTCTGACAAACCCGATATGGCTGAGATTGGGAAATTGATGTCAAGATTGAAGAAAACAGAAATGCAAGAGAACGTCTTCTGCCTTCACAAAGAAACGATTGAACAGGAGAAGCAAGGAGGTGAATTGTAATGAGGCTCCCTCCACCAATATGCACTGTACCTCCCAAAGCCTTGCCTTCTGATCTTACTTCTTCTGGTTGTTCAACTTTGTGAGATGCGCAGAGATTGGGTCAGTTTTAAATGACGGTGCTGCCCCTTTTCACACCAGAGAACGGACAATGAAGGCCGCACCTGCCTCGCCTGTCTGGCTATGGGGAAGGTAAAGAACTGGCTTGCTGGTGAAGAGGAAGTTGGTGGGATGGCAGTGAAATCCACAGTGAAAACCAGGCTCGCCCCAGATAGCCTGCAGGTTGTAAAATACAATTTAATCAGAGTGCTTTTTTTTCAAATGATTTTTATGGAAATGCACATTTTTTTATTATGAAAATAAAAAGTTTTTAAACATGAGGGAAAAACCTTAGAGGAATATAAAATGAATTTTTTAATAAGATAATCTCTTGCCCTGGCCGGTTTAGCTCAGCGGTTGGGGCATCGGCCTGTGGACCAGGAAGTCCCGGGTTCAGTTTCTGATAAGGGCACGTACCTCGGTTCCCGGCCCCAGTTGGGGTCGCGTTGGTGGCAGCCAGTCGATGTGTCTCTCTCACATCGATGTTTCTTTCTCTCTTCCTTCCTCTTTCTCTCCCACTCTATCTGAAGATAAATGCAAAAATGTCCTCGGGTGAGGATAAAAAAAAAAAGATAATCTCTTAAGAATAAGAATTCTCAAAATTGGAATTAGGAAGTTTATATCTATTTTATTCACTTTTCTCAGATATTCCACTTTATTTCTGCAACTAAATAAGCCTTTGCAGTGTGTGGGAAAACTCCCAGCAAAACTTTATCATAGTTTGTTCACAAACATGCCCAATTTTCACCTTTATTACTATACTATGCAAACTTATGATTGCCAAACTTCAGAAATGATATAACGGAGACAGGAAAGTCAGAGAAGGGTGCATACAATAATCAATCAACTTTGGAGCTATTCATTCTATTTTTTCTTTTTTAACTTATCTTTACTGTTGAAAGTATTACAGATATACCTCCCTTTTTCCCCCATTGACGTCCTCCTCACTGTGTCTACTGGTTGTGCATATATGTATATCAGTTCTTTTGTTTATCTCCTCCTGCCACCACCCCTACCTACTTCCCACTGAGATTTGTCAGTCTGTTCCCTACTTCCATGTCTCTGGGTCTATTTTGTTCACCAGCTTATTTTGTTCATTATATTCCACAAATAAGTGAGATCATGTGATACTTGTCTTTCTCAGTCTGGCTTATTTCACTTAGCGTAATACTCTCCAGGTCCCACCATGTCATCTCAAAGGGTAAGAGATCTTTCTTTCTTACAGCTACATAGTGTTCCATTGTGTATATGTACCACAGCTTTTTTATCTACTCATCTACTGATGGGCATTTGGGCTGTTTCCAGATCTTAGCTATTGTAAATAGTGCTGCTATGAACATGGGGGTACATATATTCTTTCTAATTGGTGTTTTAGGCTTCTTAGGATGTATTCTTAGAATTGGAATCACTGGGTTAAATGGCAGTTTCATTTTTAATTTTTTGAGGAAACACCATATTGTTTTTCATAGTGGCTGCACCAGTCTGCATTCCCAACAGCAATGTACTAGAGGCCCCTTTTCTCCACACCCTCACCAGCACTTGTTGTTTGATGATTTGTTAATGGCGGACATTCCAGAAAATGTGAGGTAATACCTCATAGTCATTTTAATTTATATCTCTCGCCCTGGCTGGTTTGGCTCAGTGGTTAGAGAGTCGGCCTGCGGTCCAGAGAGACCCGGGTTCAGTTCCCGCTAAGGGCATGTACCTTGGTTGCAGTTTGTCCCCGGCCCTGGTTGGGTCATGTGGGTGGCAACCACTCGATGTGTCCCTTTCACGTCGATGTTTCTCTCTCTCTCTCTCTCTCTCTCTCTCTCTCTCTCTCTCTCTCTCTTCCTCCCATTCCATCTGAACAAAATATCAAAAAAATGTCCTCGGGTGAGGAAAAAAAAATTATATCTCTCTGATGATTAGTGACATTGAACATTTTTTCATGTCTCCTGGCCATTTGTATGTCCTTTTTGGAGAAGTGTCTATTTAGGTCCTCTGCCCATTTTTTAAGAATAAACTCAAAATGCATAAAAGACTTAAATATAAGTCATAAAACCATAAAAATCCTAGAAGAAAATGTAGGCAGCAAAATTGCAGACATCACACAAAGCAGAGTTTTCACTGATACATCACCTAGGACAAGAGAAACAAAGGGAAAAAAATTAATAAATGGGATTACATCAAACTAAAAAGAAACCAGCATCGAAATGCAAAGGGAACCCACTGTATGGAAGCACATAATTGCCAATGATACATCAGGTAAGGGATTAATTTCCAAAATATATAAAGTACTCATACAACTCAACAAAAGGAAGACAAACAACCCAATTAAAAAATGAGGAGCTATTCATTCCTGAGTATCACACCTTGCCTTGTTCCCAGCTTCTGCTTTTTCCTGCACAGCGCCTGTCCTAGGACTGGCTTTGAGGGTCTGCAGGTGAGAATCCTGCATTCCTCCAGCTGGCTTAACTCCTCCTTTGTGAGAGACTTTTTGCATGGCATCAATTTTGCTAAAATCTGCTCTGCCATCTCCTGCCCCAAGGCAGGATATCTCTGCATTCTGCATTTCTTTATCTCTGCATTTTGCATTTCTTTAAGTAACCATTTACTCAACAAGCCAGTCTTTGCTGACCTTTTGTTCCTCTTGTGGTATTTCCTGGAATTGCTTCGTGCAAGCAAGCGTGGTGCTTGACAAAAGGTGCTCCCTGTTTTTCCTGCCCTATATATTGTGTGAATATCCCTGGAATAAACGAGACTTGATCAGAACCCTGTCTTGTCTCCATTTCTCGTGTCTCTTGTCCCTCCTCATCCTAACTCCCCCTCTAGAGTCCTCCTTGCTCGACCTGCGGGACGGGTCACTCCTTATCTGATTTTCCTCCAGTTTAAGGACTTCATTCATTCTGACTCCAGGGCAGAGTGTGTTTAATGACCTGTTCAGGGCCACAGTGACTTGGGAGACAAAGAATGGAGAGCAGACCTAGGATCAAAGTCAAACCAGGTGCTTGTTAAGGAGGAAGCCAGCACAAGTGCAGGGAACAAGCACAAAGTCCAAACGCAGGAAATCAAAGAACTAGGAAAGATAAAATAAAGTGACTGGTGAATCAGGTAGGAGGTGGTCTGGAGGATTCTCTGTAAACTTCTGCAGAGGCATTTAGAGGATGAATGAGCAACTTGGAGTTTGCTCCTGAACCATAGCTCAGAGGTGTCAACCTTATTACCTTTGATAAACTTTTCTGATATTGACTCTCAATTGGCCTAGAAATGAAGGGTATCTCCTCTTAGATTTTGCATCACAATGCTCTCCACCTATTTTATTTGGAAGCTTAAGATTTGCCACTCCCTCAGGACACTATGCTTTGCTTGTTCCCACCTACGTGGGTGGGACTCTATCTTTCTCCCTGTCACTAGGCCTCTTAATCCTGTTGCAGTTGATTGGAATATGCTAAAGACCAAAAATGTAACAGGAACATCTAAGGACAGGAGAGGACAGTAGCACATTCTACAAATCACAAACATTTTGAATAAAAGACATTGTTGGCTAACATCTGAATACAGACCTTAGAATATGAAAATTGGTTATTTAGGTCAAATAAAGTACTATTTTTTTTTTACATAAAGTAGTTATATAAAAACTACTGATAGAGCTTGGCTGGTGTGGCTCAGTGGTTGAGCATTAACCCATGCATCAAGAGGTCACTGATTTGATTCCTAGTCAGGGCACATGCCCAGCTTGTGGGCCAAATCCCCAGTGGGGGGCATGCAGGAGGCAGCCAATCAATGTTCTCTCTCATCAATGTTTCTCTCTCTCTCTCCCTCTCCCTTCCTCTCTCTCTAAAATTAATAAAGAACAAAAATATCTTAAAAAACAAAAAACAAAAAACCACTATTGGTAGAGATTTCACCAGTCAGTGGTCATGGCTCAATATAAAAAGAAATTTATGAAGGATCTGAGAAAACTCATGTATGAAATCTTCATAATATATTACTAAGTGAAATTATATTTATCTTTAGTATCATGTGAGGTGAATGTCCTGAAGGACAACTGTATGTGAAACTTCTGTTGACTTTTTTTGGAAGGGTAGGGCATCTTAGCACTGATTTTCCTTTCTAAGAGAACACTCTTTCCTCTGGGGGAATTATTTCTCCCAGGAATGAGCAGTCTTGGTGCTACTGTATTCAAGATCTCTACCCTCCCCTATTCAGGGAGCATGTAATTTCAGCTGGGCCTATAGGAATCTCTCTCCTGGGACTTTGAATTACAAGAAAATTGAACTAAGATGATGACAACTTTTGGAGCTTTTCATTCTAAAGTAGAACCCAGAGTATGTCCTGCTGCCTAGATGTTTGGAGAGCATTTAAAATATTCTGTGTAGGTCCTATGTCTGCTTCTATTGGGAGTGGCAGGAATGGCACTACGGTTAGACCAGTGGGGTCAGACTGGACCTGGGTTTAGCAACCTCAGTACTTTTTTATCCTCACCAAAGGCCATTTTTGCATTTATCTTCAGGGAGAGCGGGAAAGAAGAGGGAGGAAGAGAGAAAGAAACATTAATGCAAGAGAGGCAAATCGATGGGTTGCCACCCACACAACCCCAACCGGGGCCAGGGACAAAGTGCACCGAGGTACGTGCCCTTAGTGGGAACCACGCGCCCATGCTCTAACCGCTGAACCAAACCAGCCAGGGCGCAACCTCAGTACTTGAGTTCGGGCTAGGACAGAATTCAGAGCCAAGACTCAAACTATGAGAGAACATTTATTTATAAAATCACAGAGGTGGAAGAAGTAATTTCTAGAAGAAACGGGCTCAGGAAACACGTTATAGAGGCAAAGGAAGGGCCCTTGGAGTTTGGAAGTGAGGAAGGTAAAGGTGCTGTGTGGGGGAAGGGTGGGGAAGGAGGAGGGGAGGGAGAAGCGGCTGGGTCCGTGTCCCTAAGGGTTTTAAGGGTGGAGATGTTAGGGGAGATTCCAGTTGCAGATCTTAATAGAATATAGTCGTCCCTCGCCACTTTGTGCTTTGACATTCGAGACTTCACTCTATACTGTACTATATTGAAAAAACTACGATAGA